AGATGCTGCCAGACCTGCTGAGCTTTTCCAGCAACTTTGTTTTTGTTCCTGATTTACAGCATTCGCAGTTCTTTTAGTTTTTACCTTCAGAGAGTGGTCTGGCAGCCCACTCCCCATGTGTGGAAGTGGTGGTGTGGGGTTGTGAGTCAGATTTTAAACATGTTGGCTACTACCTCACCCATAACACATTTGTTTTTGACATTAAACTCCCTCCAGTGCCTTCAACAGTGTTCTTCAATTTCAGGACTTCTTGATTCCCTGTAATCTTAATTCATAACATGAGCAGATGATATGCTTCCAGGCTTTTGAAAATAGCTACAAAGGGAAACACAGCAATGTTGGGAGGTCACAACGTGGAATGTGAAGAATGGACTAGAAAATTACAGGCAAGAAAACATTGTCAGAGAAATTTGTGATGAAGTAGTTTGTAGCACCCATTTCAGGTTTCCAAAATAGATTTTAAACAAGTCAATACAACGTGGAGCTGGAGGAACACAGCAGGTCAGGCAGCATCAGAGAAGCAGGAAAGTTGACATTTTGGGATTACACCCTTTATCAGGACTAATTATAAACAAACGAGCTCAGGGCTTTATAGCTTTATAGCAGCATACAAATAATCCTAATGATTTAAGAAACAAAAGCAGAAATTGCTGAAAAAACTCAGCAGGTCTAGCAGCATCTGTGGAGGGAAAACAAAGTCAATGTTCCAGGTCCAGTGACCCATGTTCAGAACTGATTGTAGCTACAAAATGGTTGATACATATGCTGAAGATTGGTGGAAGGGTGGGGGCGGGGGTGAGGAGGAGGAGAAGAAATGATAGATGGAGATGGAGGTGAGAGAGAACAACAGTTGGGCAGACAAAGGAATGGAAAATGGCAGGGGAGCTTGGGAGAAAGAAAACTGCTAATAGGGACTATTAGTGGATGGAAATGGTTTGGCTGTGCTGCAAGCAGCCCATGTGGTGACAAGGTCTGGTATGTGGGTACTGGGGTAAGGACATGGGAGAAGGTGCTGAAGCCCTAAAATTATTGAACTCAATATTGAGTTCTGAAAGCTGCAGGGTCCCCACACAGAAAATGAGATGCGAGAAGGGTGATGGTGGATGGAGATGATTCAGGCCTTTTTTTGCAGGAATAAGCAGACGATGAGGACTGTCCTGATGGAGATGGGCATGTCAAGGGATTGCATGCCTGTGATGAAGGGAAGGTGGCTGGAGCCTGTGAGCTGGAAATTCTGAAACTGACATAAAGCATCTGAAGTATCACTGCTGTCAGTGGGAAGGGATTGGGCAAAGCAAAAAAATTCGAATCGCTGTCGGAAGAAATTAGTTCTATGGGGCAGGAGCAGGCAGAAACAGTGGGTCTGCCTGGGCAGTCCTGTTTGTGGAATTTGGGAAGGAGGTCGAATTGGGCTGTGTTGGACTGGAGGGCTATGAGTTTGGAGAAAGTAAGTAAGCAAGGTCACCAGATTAGTGATCATTGTAGACACAATAGCCTGGTATTTGATGGTGGCATCACAGTCCAGGAGGACTATGTGCAATGTAGAGGTCAGTCTGCCGACTAACACTTGTTGGCAGCCTCAATGACAGGGTTTTAAGACCCACGTTGTAGAAACACACTGACACTGTATGACTTTTTTTTCCTATCAATTTATAAAAGGCTGGTAGAGATAAATAAAACTTTTAAAAAATTGCTGATTTCTCCAAAGAATTAACAACAGGTTTAAAATTTACCCAGTTCTCACATCAATTACAAATGATTGATATGTCTTTTTGCTTAACTTAGACATTTGGTAAATTATTGTGGAAATATAGAGATGAAAGCCTGTAATATTACGGAAGTGGAAGTTGGTACAATTGTTGATGAATCAGATTTGAAGTTTAGGAGTAAGTTCAGGGTTGAACAGAATAAAAACACTGTACACCTCTTCAGTTAAAACTGGGCAGGAAGCTAGGGATTAAATTGGGAAAAAGCTGTAAATTCTCAGCAGGTCAGTAATGTCTGTGGAGAAGGAAGCAAAATTAATATTTCAGGTCTGTAATCTTTCATTAGAATGGTAAGCAGTTAGGATGTAATAGGTTTTGTGCAAGGGAAAGGTCTGGAAGGATCAGAAGAACAAAAGGGAAGATGTATGATTGGCTAGACAGCAATACAGAGCAAATAATAAAAATATCATGCTAGAAAAATCCAAAGCGTGTGGTAATGGGACAAGTAAAGTGTGTCTACGGAGGATGTAGTTGGTAGAATGGCAGTTGTCCAAATGTAAGGAAAGGAAGTGAAGAAGAAACAAGAGAAAAAGAAATAAATGAACTAGCAAAAATTTAACACAAAATGGGGGCAAGAGTTATGATCTTGCATGTAATAATCATTTCAGTTTGGACTATAAGGAAACTGGAGTTGTCTAAAACTTGACGTTGTACAGCTTCAGGGTAAAATAGCAATTGGCGCTCTGGAGTGGACATGGTGGTGTTGTTGGTGTCATCGGTATACATATAAACTCGATCCTGTACCTGCAGATGATATCACTAAAGGTTAAGAGGGGATGATTGGCTATTACCATCTAGGCACAAATGACAAAACTGCTGGAGGATGTGGCAATCAAGTTGGTGGGGACAAAAAATGCAACACCAAGAGGTGAACAATTTTTTAGCACAATATTGTCACTGACTGCAAACTTTCTGAAATTCCATAAGTTGAATGAATTCACATCTTTGTGAAGTTTATTACTAAAGGGAAAATGGTCCTAGTGCGGAATAAAGCTTGCAGGTCATACAGGAGACAAACATTGCCTTCCTGATTAAGAGATCGCAGATATCTTTAACCAGATAGGAACAGTAGACTAGATCTGTAGAGCTGCTTCATTGGATACTGACAGATGGAGTCATCTCCTCCCAAGATGTAAGCACCACTGCCTCTGTTTGTTCCTGTAGAAATGATCAAATAGCTTACCAAGGCCAAGAGAAATTTCTTAAAGAACAGCCTATTATGAAAGATGATAAAATTGAGAATCAAACTTCCTTCAGCAGTAAGAGGTGACAAAAAGTGAAAAACATAAATTTTAAATGTGAAGCTTTACTCTAAACTTAACATAAAATTTCAAATCTAAGCTGTAGTCAACCAGCAATCAGCACTTTAAACTTTAACTGTGCTCTGAAAGAACAGGTTGGGGATTTAAAAATGTATCTGGTTTGATACAGATCTTTAAGGATGACTACATTTTGGAGGGAAAAAGTACAAAAGAGGAAACGTTGATCTCAATTGACATGATTACACGTGACATTTGCAGCTAGAAAGAGAGATAAGAAGATAAGCACTGAGATTCAGAGACGATGTATGGAAATCAAAGTTTCTGACTAGTGCAAACCAGTAGAAAACACACCCTATATTTCAAAGTGACCAGTTATTTAAACAGCGTTTCTAGCCACTACAGGGCACACCACAAACTGGTGACAAAGAGGATCCAGATGTCAACTGCAAGAGGACACCTTAAAATAGCTTGTCAAGATCTGGACCAAGATTTCTCATGTCCTTGAAACGTACTTCAGTCTATCTCCTCACAAAAGCTTAAAATTGAAAAAAAAAGTAATTAATTTTACTTACATAATACCAATGCACAATGTAATCAAGTGACTGAAAATGAAGTATTACTTTACCATTTGCTTTGAATTGCAGACATTAGAATTTATTACATTCCCTGTTCTGGAGGCACAATGTGTTCAAAACATGTTGTACTGGGCCACTTACTATGAAATCCAATCTTCAATTTTCAACAGAATATTCAGGTTATTTCCAGTGTCCATAGAAACCAGATGCCTTCATATCTTTTCCCTCCTGCTAAATGCTTCTATAGAATAAATTTTAGCAAATTAACTAAAATAGAATCGACTTACCCGTTGCCTTGGTTGTGTTGCTGTGGAAACCACAACTGTGTTGCATAATGTCAAAGCCAGAAAGAAATCTATGATACATGCATTTTCCAACCCTGTGCCATCTTTTATTCGAGTCCACGGGTCCATATGAACAACAGCATCTTGAATTCTGTTCAGCAAGACTTCATCAGGGGTGATTTCTTTCTCCTAAGGCACAAACACAAAATAAAAGCACACAAAAAGTACTCTCTTTGAATTTTTAATTGGGCCATTAGGACTTAAGGGTAGATCCTGTATTTATTTCCTGAGGATAACTCCATCACTTACTTGGGTTAATTCTCCTATAACTGCATTTCGTATAACTTTTAATCAGTCACATTTGCAATTGTTTGGTCAGTGAAAATGAGTAACTATCTTATATTCCAAGTTAAGCTCATATCTACAAATTTCACAGAGATATGCTGTTCTCTACCCTCATGAAATTTTATTTTACTGCAATTCCATGCTCACGCTTTCTTACACGTGACCGTGCTATCTTGGCATAATTCCATTACCCCAGCAGGTGCTGACAAGCTGAACATCTAACAATTACTGCGATCACCGTGACATATACTTTACCAGCAACTGCTACTATGTCCGGTTATGGCACACTGTTGTACAAAACTGCTTTAATATTCAACACGTCTGTTATTAAGTTAGTGTTTAGGACTGGGAAAGAGTTTGCCAGAGAGGATATGGAATAGACATTGCTGATTGTGACATAATGAAGGTTTTCATATTATGACAGCAGTAACTGATAAGCAAAAGAATAGAAGGGTCTAGACCCGAAACGTCAGCTTTCCTGCTCCTCTAATGCTGCTTGGCCTGCAATGCTCATCCAGCTCTACACCTTGTTATCTCATAGTTATCAACTGTTTTGTTTCACTTTGCCACTTTGAAACCATTATTTTAATTTCACTGCTTGGTATCTCAGTTTTAGCAATCTAGTTTCCAATTCTCATACTTCAAAATGATATTTATTTTAAATACATATTACCCATGTGCTTTACCAACTGGGCAGGTAGCCCAGGTAGGGGAATAAACACATGCCTCCAGCCTACACAAGTGATATACAGGATATTCCCTGTGAATTTTACGGTGGCAGACAATTAAGCGGTTTCTACTGAGCTGTTCTCCTTTTTAAGGATGGAAGTCTGCCTGAGAGCTGCTGTTCCAAGATGAAGGCTGGTAGCAATGCGATCTGCACACGATAACCAGCATTAGCATGCCAGTATGAGCAGGAATGTGTTCGCTGTGTGGTTAAGTTGAAACTCCACAACTTTCAGCTGGTAGAGAAAAAGAGAATCAGTGCTGGAAGGCAAACCCATCCAGGGATAATGCTGGTGTCAAAGAGGCTGCTTTTCCTTGAAAGATGCCCCTTTACTTTAGAAATCCTTTCCTCTTCCCCACCCCCAAGTCTGTCATTGGATGGCCCTTTGAGATGTAGGGAAATTTCTTTACTTAAAACAATATTCCACCTAAGCAGCGTGCTCTGCGCACAATAACCAGCACTAGCGTGCCAGTCATCGCATTGACTTTCGGTTCTGGAAGTCACTAACTTGCTCAGGTCTCAGAGGCCCAATCAGCCGTAAAGAAAATTAGAAGGAAGCTGCTTGGCGGGTGTTTAGCCTTTAGAATTCTCAACCCCAGAAAACTCTGAATGCTTGATCAGTTATTATTTTCAAGTGAGACACTGACAGATTTTTAGATACTCAAGGATGATTGTGTGGGGAGGAATAGCTGAAGTTTGATCATATTGAATGGCAGAGCAACCTTGATAGACTGTTTATGTTCCTATTTTGTATGAACTCTGGAATGTCATTCCGTTATTAAACGGTGTAAATGGTCTCAGAGGTCAAACCAGAGCTGGAGAAACTAGAATGTGTTGGCTGCTCAAACCACTGCACCTTTGCAGCTGGTGGCAATATTATTAAGCAATTTTCAATTGAGGATGAGAATTTTGAAATCAGTGCCCTAAGAGTTAAAGAGGAAACAGAAGCCAAATTTCATGTTTAGAAGCCAAAACCACACATTCAGGCAAGTATTTAGATAATTCTTTGTTTCAGTTTCCGCTTTGCTTCTTGAGAAGAAGGAAAAAAATGGATAGAGTGGATGAACTCCGACACAGGAGCCCTATTCCACCGCCATCCAATTAGAGAGAGATGATTGGTGGTGGGTTAACCTGAGGGTCACCACACCTCAGGCAAGGTGAGAAGTTGAGAAGGAGAGTCCTTCATGGTAACCTCAACCCAGTATAGGAATTGAACCCACATTGTTGTTGTCACTCTGCATTACAAACCAGCCATCCAACCAAATGAGCAAAGCACAAAATCAGAGTGATGCTGTATTATCTTACTATATATACGTATACATATAAGCAAAAAATCTCTAATAAATTTCCTTTCACATCTCCAAACTAATTCCCTCCTTTCACAGTCGAGTCAGTTTTGCCTTCTCTGTCTGGCCTTCCTTTTCTCTCCAACCTTTCTCCAGAGCACTTATCTCTTCCTTATCTCTTCCTGGTCTGTGATAGATTCCAGACCTAAGCTTCCCTAAATTTATGGGTCTGTCTGTTAATTCATAACCATCAGCCAGAATTGCTGCCCATCTAAAACCAGCTACTGCCTGTTCCTCAAGAGAGTCTGCATTGGAAAGGGTATGGAATTTCTGAACACCTTGAGGAAAATTACCTTATAAACATTTTTGTTGGCTTCAACTTTAAGTGTACATACCCACTGGTCAAAATTTCATTGCTTATGACACACATATTCTAGATGTTTCTTGTCAGGTTATTTCTTGAGGGTACAAATTTTTTTTTCTACATCTGGAGCTTAATAGTATATGCTTGAAATATTGTTTTTGTTATCTCATAGTTTGTGGCATTTTTCTCACCGAAGAAGAAGTAAACTTCATGAGCTTTCCCTGCCAACTTGCTCTGCAATAGAAATTCCCAAATGGACTGAGCATTTTAACTACTGTGGTAATCTTTCAAAAGAGATAAACAGATCAAGGTAGCTGTTAAGTGTTTGATTCTAAAGGAACAGTACCACTGACTGCCTTAAACATCCAGAGAGAAATCAACATTCTCCAAATTTACAGCAGTTTATTTTTAGTAATGACAAAGTGCTGGAGAAATGAATAGGACAAAGCACCAACAAATCCATTGGAACTGATGACTTTCATTTTAGGATCTTAGAAGAGGTGACACAAGATAGAGAGTGTGGATACATTGGTTTTGATCTTCAGAATGTCCTTGATTCTAGAAGGTACCCTGTGGATTGGAAAATTAGTCTGATATCACTGGTCACAAAAATCGTAGAGTGCCACCTTTTCAAAAAAAAAATTCATGTCTGTTCTAAGGCTGTTTTAAAAATATAAAACAGAGGCAAAGTTGACCAAGAGATACCAGCAAATGGACTAAGTAATTTTACAAATGCTGTGGTTCCCTTCTTTGTTGCTAAAAAGTTGAGGGTGGAGGGGGAGGGGAGTTACTCCCAAATTTGAAAGCTACTGTGGGAACAGTGTTAATTGCCTTTAGATGAGAATTTAGCCTTTATCTCAGGAGAAAGCTTCTGTAGAAGCAGCGATGTAGATTGGTCAGCAATGCCAGCCTCACACAGCAACCATAGCTGGAACTCCAGAAAGAGTATCCACACTGAGGAGCCCAGGGTAAATCTGTGCTGAGGGTCTCCGGGGAGGGGTGTGGTTGTGGAGTGTTTGCTTGGGGGGACGGTGTGATTCACCTTGACAAGTGGGTGCCTCCAATGGGTCTCAGAACCACAGAGAAGGTCCCCTTCCCACTCCTACCCCACCCAATACTAAACTTTCCAGATAAAGCTGCCAGGTTTCCCACATAGTATCCATCTTTCCCCCAAACACAAATAAAATACCAGAGGCCAGTGGGAGGAGGCCCTTAGGAGATTATTATTTATAGTGTCAATCAGCCCAAGGAATGGTAGGCCACCCACCTCAGTGAAATTTCAGATAGTTCAGAACTGGGGGTGCAGGCTCCAGACAGATAACCAGGCAGATTTTATATATCCCCGCTGTGTTAAAATCCGCTATCAGGGGATTGTGAAATCCTGTCCTGTGTCTGCAAGTGAATTGCAGGAATTTAGTCGACTGCAATATTTCACTTTCCATTCATTACAATCAAAAATAATAGTGTTCTCTTGGATTATGTAGGATTAGCTGTTTTCCAAGTTTAAAGGAGATGTGTGAATGAATAGCGATCAAATTTGACGGGCAAGTCAAATATCAAAACTGAAAGCAATCACCAAGTCTCAAAATTTTGACTGCCAAAACATTAAAACTTCCTCATGCAGAATAGTAGGTAGTACTAGAATAATAATTCTCCCAGACACTGTGAATGTAATTATATCAATTAGAAATACCTGCTGCTGCACCCTTGGTAGTTATTGCAAATCTGGGATTTGAAGCACAGTGGTGGGTTTATCAGGCAATTTCAGTCATAAGTATTTAGAACTGTAAATTGATTTTACCTCCACTGTAATTGAAATCCATGGATATGTGATCTGAATTATGTTTTCATTAAAAAAAATTGCAAATTAATTTCATGTATCACAATGAAAGATGAAAGTCTGACTAATCTTTTTCAGCAAATATGCAGCAGACAGAGAAAGAGAGAGACAAAAAATATAAAGAAAAAGTGGATTCAATCAATTTCCTCAATTAGGGAATATGATAATTCTATGCAAATGCCAAGCTTCAATTCTTTATGGAATTTCATCCATACAGTCTTAGGCATAATGTCAACAGTTGGAATGGGCATATTTGAAACATGCAAGTATATCTATCAATCTCAGCATATCCATCAGAATATACTTGTATAGATTAGTGGGCTATTAGATTAACTGGCATACAATGAGATGGGCTATTGAATACATACATCAGAATTGATAAACCACTCTAGAATTTTGAGAACAAAGATGTCACGCTTCGTCATAAACCAAATAGTTCGGCAGCATAGTATACACTGACTGTGCTGTTTCTGGGTTATCATCTGCTGAGTAACAATCGGTATTATTTCAGGAATTACACTATAATCATTAAATGTTCAATGTAGCATTATCATTAATCAGTGACAGGTAAGAAATACTGGATTTTATAAATGATTACATTCTAATTTAATTAAAATAAACTGAAGC